TTTATCTATAACTGCATCCTAGGGGACTGAACAAAATGAAATTTAAATTTTTCAAATCTGGATTTTGTTTCTTCAATATTTAAGTTTTTGTGTTTATGTTTGCAGATGTTGTATATTCCCTTTAAAGGGAATGTACATCATTGGCTTTTGCTGTAATTTTCAGCAATGGAGTATTTGAGGGGTTAGAATAATATATCAAATATTGTTACACTGACATGTTTGAAGTTTTATGTTCGAAAATGCTGAAAAAAAACAAGAAAAACAAAATTGTTCAAGTAGTCTGGTTTCCTGACTCCACCAAAATGAAATGGATCAATTTATAGTTGCCAGAAACTTGTAAGGTAAGGGAACCAGTCTAGCTGGCCTGCACCCGTTCATGAACATGTAACCAATACCAAACAAAATTTGGACTGAAAAAAGGTAAATTTGGAGCAGTAGTTGAAATATAGTTAGGTTTTTCCAACGGTGGTCGGCCGACCACCGTTGGAAATGTATACAAAAATACCATTTTCCTGAAAATGACTCCACACCAGGTGCCATAATTTTACAGAATGCTTTAGACTGTCATTTACTAACATCCTAGTAAGGTATTTCTTAAAAACTTGGTAGTTTTATTTTTCGATGTTTGCAAATGTTGTATATTCCCTTTAACCATGACAGTGTAGTCGAATCATCAACCTCATCAAGTTGTTCTACCTATATACATTACACACCAAAACATTCACTACGGTATAACGCACTTTATATATTGCAACTATCGTTTTCTAAAGTCTTGAATGAATTATATTGATCAGAAATGATTTTGATAAAAAAAACAACAGTACTGCTGAGTTAAATGGTTGTTCCTGTCGCGATGGACGACGGGCATGGACTATAAAATATATATACAATAATTTGTTTATCTTGCACATATTTAGCTGGTGTATATCATCCAACAAAGAGAATTTATTATTAGATTTACTATTCCAATCTCTCGACAGTTTTGACACTAATGCGCGCACGGCATGTCGTCCGTAGATTGGTCTGTTGGCTGATGACGTCGGCATTCCAAGTTCCAACATAACACTCCACTAAAATGAAATCATATCCGAACGCTACGGGCGCACCTCAGTGGCTGTATCAAATGTCGAATACTTCTATCACTCGACACATCGAGGTACTTGTATAACATCTCTAATGCCTGGAAGGCTGGAGCGCTGCTGAGTGATCCAAAACAATCAGAGCTATGCTGTTTCCTTCGTCTTGTATTACATTTTAGAAAAAGGTCGTAATTCAGAAACCAGTATTCTATCGTCCACCCTAGGCCTTGTATTATTTCACACTTAATAGTACATTGTAATACTTACCTGATTGACAATGTATGCCGGCACACAAATTTGGTAATCAATCAATTAATACTGCTTGGTAAAGTAAATCACAGGGTAAATGTGCAAACTCTGTGCGTTATAACTGCATAGGCCTATATGGTTATAATTATAGAAGAGTGTTTCTACTTTCTAGCGACTTTGGTTTTTATATTGGTTTGGATATTCACATTTTGTTGGGGATTTTGAAAACAGTGTACGTTGAACATTTGTGGGGAAGGCTTCACACTCTTATTCAGCAAGTCGTGTTGGTGTTTATTCTGTCCGCGTATCCATTTTGACGTAATTTTAAGTTTAGACGTATTTTATCCCCCAACTCGCACATACTGCAAAAGTCCTCTACTTGGCCTATTCCATTAGAGAGGTAACTATTCCGTTAAGATTGCAATTATTGCAGAAACTAAAAAAAGACAACCGAAGTGTTAAGCCTGTACTCGTATGTTGTATGTCTGTCACAGTTGCGCGATATATGCTTTATACAAGTTCTAAAACTAGGCTACTTCTCCAACAAGCAGAGAACAGAATCGTTCCTATGAAGATAAGAACACAGCGGATCTCGTTATTTTTAGGGGTTCTTTTCGAACATTAATTTATACCAAACAGCAGAGTTTAAACACCTTGTCAATAGTTGCTATGACAACGTCGCCGAATAATTTCCGTTGCAGACGTTCTAGTCACCGCGCATTGATTACAGCGGTGACATAGTGAAACTACCTGATACATCAATTTCTCCATGGAAGGACCAATATTTAAAATCGAACCATTTCAACAACAATAAGGTATGCTTTTGTGCTATTTTCTAAGGCACAATTATCTAATTTTCACAGGAACTCGCTTATCAGGCTTTTTGTGAGATGAACATGTCATATTGTTGTCTTGGCGGTGGATGTGTTTGATAATTTAAGGAACGCCAAGACCAGTAATTGAAGTAAAATTGAGCCGTCGACTGAATCTTCTAAGGTAATTAACCATTATCAATCATTAAAACACATTGGCAAGATAAGAACAAAGTAAATGCAATTGAAACGAAGCAGAACATTACAAGCCAGATCCGCTGCCGTCAACAACGAAAAAAACCAACAAATTATGGTTAAAATTCTGTCATATTGCAATAAGCTCTTAATATTTCAGCCACTTACCTTGCTGCAAGCACCACAAGCAGCCCAACAGCAAGGGAAATTCCAAGAATCTGTCCGAGAAAAAGTATCCACAGTGTACCTCCTGAAAGCGTCCAACGTCCTCGCTAGGCTGGGCTATAATCACAATGCCGTCTCCAAATCCGTGTCTAGCATAAATGGCGACTTGCGTATTAATCCTCCACGTAGGTTGTGCACTAGTGCCAAATGAGGACCTGAACATGGAGACAACAGATAACCATACTCCTTAATGCTGTTAAACATGCAATATTGGCTTTCAACGGGAGTGTATTTGACAACCAAAGCTGAAATCAGTCAAAAACAATGCGCCGGGAAAGAACCACTTTTGCATGTTTTCCATATAACGACCACTGCTGACCACTGCATGGGTGACCTTGATCCAAATCTTCAATCAACCTTAGTGGAGCTCGCAACTGAAATCAGTTGAAAATATTTTCAGAAAACCACCGTAAGTTTGCACGTTAAAAAAAAACACTACTGACCATTGGGTAACTTTATTGATACAAATCTGTTACAAATCTTACGTTGACTTGGATCAAGGATTCAAATATTATGACGAAATATATGATTCAAATCGGTTGAGAAATGTGGCAAAAGAAGTTTATGCGTTTGAATGAAATGACCCCTACTGACCCTATTATGAGGACTGGTCCCGTTGATGCAACTGACCAGGTGTGGCTTTAGTCAGAGGGAGACTGTACAAAAAGAAGCATTTCATGCTTCCATAAAAATGACCCACTAGTGGCCACATGATGACATTTGACCTCAAAAGTGACCGTTCCACAGCACTCCGGTTTCGAACATGTAAATCGCCCTTAATTGTAAGTTAATTGGTGAAGAAAGCGATGCAGTCAACATATCCTGTCGTTCGTTGAATCGACAATGTGCCTGTCTGATGAAGATATAACATTTTTCTATAATGCCAAAGTATAAAGGTTTTTCACAGTTATTGTATCACTTGGCCTATATCAAACAAATACCCTAAAACAATATTTTGATTTCGTCGAACATCGTCAACCTTAATTCTCAGTTTGGTGTACGTTTGTAGGCATGCATGGTGTACTTGTGCGAGAATGAAACACAGGGCTACAACCCAGGGCTACAATTGGAAACGCGTTTGAAAAGAAAGTAAGCCCTTGGGACGAGGTTGATAGCAATATGGAAACTCGGACTGGAAACTCGCCACTCGCCACTCGACTCTCAAAACGCCAGAAAGTAATACACTTTGCAAATGAAGGACATCATTCCATGGTAATGGTTGTCCTCAATAGACTGCAGACCTGACTTCGTACCCGTATATCATATGTGAGGACATGCAACGACATCGGTACTTCGAAATCTTATTGGTTGATATAAATGCGCCTAACCTATGCCACCTCCCTGTAATCTGGCCAAAGAATATATACGCTTACAGGTCGCGCAGAACTGCAGTGACTTTTACGATAATACATATATTGATTTGATCCCTGTGTCATAGGTCAATCGGCCAGTGGGGTGCTGGAAGTTCTCAGACTCTATCTTACGAGACTTTTGAGGCTGATATTTTGAGATGAAGCGGTTTTTTGATGGAACGCCCTCGTGCGCCGTGTTACTACGTATCCACAATGTCTTGACCCAAGACTAGACTTCACGCATGCTCAGAGTGGCCACGATGTATTTGTGAGGGTTCCAGTTGTATTGGGACACCGTGTGCGCAGACTAGCGTACGGATGCAGTAAATAAGTGCAACTTTAAATCTATCCAATAACTCGGTATCACGTGGTCACAACTTTCTTGGGTGCCGAATCACAATTCAACTCGGATCGACTTTCTTACATTGTATTACAATACAGTGCAATACACTAACAATGAACACTTTTTTTAATACAGCTCAAGTCACATTTTGACTCCTACAACTTGGAAGGCCTGTTTACTTGTTGATGGCTACGGGACCTATGCTTTTCTAGTTGCTGCGTTCGAGCTATAGCTGATTTTTGTTTTGGCCAAGTTAAACACGTTAAGATAAGAAAGTTATTTAAATTCTAATTAATGTGTACGAAACGTGTGTTTGTGTGTGAAAAATCCAAATGTACTGTTAGTCTGTTGTTCTTAGATAGCATGTTTAACGTGGATTTGTGTGCCTGCATATTGTGTGCACTTATTGTAAACATGTACATAAAGATATTAATAATTATAGTCACATAGTCCTTCGGACTTTCAGCTAAGATCAGGGCATACAACGAGCAGCACTTGTCTTGAATAAGAAGTAAGGGTTTTCCCTGGTAACTCTGTCTCTCCCAAGATTATCTCAGGAAAAAATCAATATAGGCCCCTACACAATGAATAACTATATAGTTGGTGCAATGTTTCCCAAAACTAATTTTGCACTGTTACCGATATCTTCAATTGGTTTGATGGATACTTCCATGATGTGAAAATATGACACCCATGATTTTAACTTTTTGTTCAATAAATTCGATTCCTCTCTGTGTCATTACAGGATTCCCACATCTTTCAAAATGACTTCAGCACAAGGAGATGCACATACGAATGACGTCGACGTCGTCTGTCAATCTGAACCATCCACATACTCTCTGGATCCTGTCGACTACTTGCCAAATGAAATCCTATGCAAGATAATTGGTTTTCTGTCGGTAGAAGACTTGTGTCACCTGGCTGTATGCAGCAAGGCATGGAGGAATGTAACCAACACAAACAGCCTTTGGCTTCATCTTTGTAAGCTGAGAGATTGGGAGCGTTTTGGTACGGAAGTAGATCTCCGCAAAGAGAAGCCAATCCACTCTACAGAGACCAGGAAATGGGGTTCCATTCCAACCTTTCAGGCCGAGTCGGTCATTACTGGCGACTGTAACGTGAAGGATCTTGCACCAACCTGTGAATGGAAGGAGGTTTACATGAGAGCTTGGCATCTGGACAGGAACTGGTCAGAGGGGCGTTACCGGGAGCACCATGCCTATTTGCCCGTTCGAACATATTACAAAGCGAGTAGTGTGGCAAGTGATGGCAGGACATACGCGGCTGGTGATTACTATGGGTTCGTGCGACTGTTGGATTTTAACAGTGGACGATTTCTGCGGAAGTTTCAAGCCACCAATTCAACCAGATCACAGATCCTGAAGATCAAGCGAGCGTCTATGAGCAGGAAGACTAAAACGGAGAGTGACATTGCCATACATCACATGCATCTGAAGAATGACATTGGAGTTGCTGTATTCAAGGGAGGTATGCTTGTATTTGAGGGCAGCACAGGCAATGCTTTGCGACGGATTACTCCGAGTAAGTGGAGTGACTTTGATCGATATTTGCCACGTAAATCATATTTTGAAGAAAATAAAATCATAGTCTCTTATAATTGGCTTGACTTCCCTTTACACATTTGGGATATCAGTGATTTGGTTGAGGGTGTAGATAATGGTGCATGTACAGAAACCATACTGCACACTGAAACTTCAGAAGATAATCCACATCCAGAAGCATCCTACCACTTGTTGGGTTGTCATGGACACTTTGTTATCACCTCTAGCTTGAGCCATCCTGAATTCCTTTTTTGGGATACGAGAACACCAGAAATTATAAGGATATACAAAGGACACAAAGGCAATGTTTCATGTGGCCATCTTGATGAAAACACTATCATGACTGGTGATAATGCTGGTGAGGTAAAAGTGTGGACAACTGCATCTGATGTTTGCATGAAAACACTGTCTGAATTCCCACCTGAAGTCTGTCTGAATTCCCATTTTCATCACCGTCGAATCAACACGGTACAGTTCACTGATAAAGTGATTGTTGCCGGCAGTCAGTCCAGAATTGTAGTCTGGAGTCGCGATGGCATACTACTGAACATGGAAGACGTGGAATTGCGGAGTACTAGCATTTGCAATCGACTTGTCACGTGTACCCGATCGCCAGAACTAATTTCTGTCTGGGACTTATCAACTGGTAAACGTCTTTACCGCCATGAATTTGAATTGGGACTGCTTGACCTTCTATACACGGATGACACTAGGATTGTCGTTCAAGTGGGTTATAACAGGCTTGTTAAAATGTTGCAATTCTGGTAGTTACATGAAAAAGCTTCGGGATCAAAATACACTAACTTTTCTTTTCTCTCTTGGCATACAGTGAGTATCCAAAAAAAAGGTCATCCATAACATTTGGTTAATGTGTAAAACGTAAAAATGTTTACACCGTCAAAGTTGCTTCATCTTGAAGGCCGAGTAAAAGGAAATGCATAGGTTATCGTCCGGGCTTTTATAATAAAAATGAAGGAGGCGGGCGCGCTTTGCTTTTTTTCCAAGATGGCGGATTTTCCAATTTTGCGGATGGATTCTTTCTTTTTGCTTGACTGTTTTGCTGGAAATAACAAAATTGTTTTCAAAGGAGCCAAAACTCTTTCTATATGAAAACAATTTTGTTGGATAAAAAAGACAATACATGTATAGTGGTAACACATGTGCAAAATATTATTGGAAACGTAACAAAGTACCACCCCCCCCCCCACCTTTTTAAGTTGCCTTATTTGCACCTATTTAGTCACGGATGACGGAGCATCTTTGATTTCAAACAGATGCAATAAAGCCACTGTATAAAGCAAATTGGATTTGGATGATTGTTCTGCTGATACAATCTGTATCATGTAAATGTGGACACTTTCTGCTTTGTTTACCATTTGTCTGACCACATAAGTGTACAGAATAAAAATCAGTGACAAAGGGAATATATAAATATCATGTACCTTTATCGTAATGCCGTGGAGAACATTTTAAAACTGTATTTGTTATATTTTTGGAAAAGTACTTGTGTGATTTGATTAATTCTTTTACTAAAATAAATGTTTACTTGGAATTACACATCCTAGATCTGAAAAGTGATGCATTTGTACATACAGGGACATATTGGGCTAAATTTAAGACCAGAGGATAAAAAAATTCAATTTGTGTTAATAATTATACGAAACGTCTGTTTTTGTTGCCTAAATATCGGAACATGAACGCGTGGTGTCATAAGCCGGTATGCGGATACCGCCATCTTGCTGAAGATCTCCGAAGAGAAATGTTAGCTAGGGAATCTGGCGATTTGTGCCACTTGTGCCCCACAGGAGATCAGCTGTTCATATTTTGTTGCCAAATTTGGCGGTTTAAGTCAATAAAAGCAATATGTATTTTGAAGTTCGATGATTACTCAAACATTCTATCTTATGTATAGTTACTTTTTACCGGCCATTTCTTGCACTGACTGTGAAAAAGTTGTCAATTGGTCCCTAGTCGGGTGACTGTTTTTCCACCCACTTCCCCTGTGCATAGGCCTAACTTCCTAATTTGAAACGTGTATACACTCTAAAAAATAGTTGCTCATTATTGGGTAAAATTACTACCTTTTCGAGAGTAAAAAGGGAACATGGTCGTCAACTTGTGTACTTTTTTTTGCACAACTAAAGTGTAGAAAAGTACCCATTTCTGTGTAACTTTTACCCATAATTGTGTTACGTGTTTGCACAACAAAGTTGGGTAAGAAAGTTTACCCATGTGACGACCATGTTCCATTTTTACTCAATTATTGGGTAAACTTTACCCAACCCTCCTTTTACCCAAGTGTTGTGTCAGTTTCTTACCCAGATATTGGGTTCTGTTTTTTACCCTGCACTGTTGGGTTCTAAATTTACCCATCACTTGGGTTGTTTTTAAATTAGTTGTTGTGTACCTTTGTTATTGATCCTTGCGGTTTTATTCAACTTTGAACTCTGCAATGTGAATTGCATGCTAGAGACAGCAATCGTGAGGGATTTCAACAACTGAGTCCTGGGTTGGAAAGTCAGTAAAATGAATAAGATGATATTTCCCCAAATATGGTGCTGATGCATGAGGACTATTACGAGGAGCGTGGGCTAAATAATGGGCATGGGTGTTAGAATTTCCCTGAATCAACTCATTCAAAAACAATTCCCCAAATGTTTGTCACTTTACTCCGTCTTTCTAGATCTGAGAACACTCATTATACGGCACATGAAATGCATGCATCATGTGCATGGAATCGTGGTTGGCAGAGCCGTGACGTCCAAGTTGCAAATAAATGTCTAAATAATAAGCATGTCACTTCTCCAATCTCCCCGATATTAATCCTCATACATCAGCATCCCATTTGGAGGAAAAACACTGAAATTCATTTCACTGACTTACCTGGAACAAAGAAATCACGTCTTCAAAATCCCCAAATTGTTGAAGGTCTCACAAGCGGCGGCCATCTTGTACATGAGTGATGACGCGTGCACAATATTGGGTAAACGTTGTCACGTGTGTCAGTTTACCCCACACAGTGGTAACATTTTACTAATGTCGTGGTAAATTCTACTCTTCCACGTATACAATGAGAGAATTGTTACACAGTGGTGAGGTAAATCCAGTTTCTTTAACCCATCACTTGGGTAATAATACCATGATTTGAACTTTTTGCCTGTGCTGCAGGGACTTGTAGTCAATGTTGGGTATTATTTTACCCTTTTCACCTCCTTTTTTTATAGTGATATCACCACTCGGTACAGGGTGATTAAGTTGCATTGTCATGATTGTGAAAGTTTACAATTTGTGACCTGTACTTACTTTGCCAATTGAATGTTGAAATATACCTTTCAATAAACTTCATGGATTTTTGTTTTATTTGTTATTAATATGAGGTGGGTTAACACATTTAATTATGTTTAGTCAGTGCTTAATCAGCCCAAGTCAACTCAGTGGTCGAAGCTAAAACTGTTGATTTTATCGAGCGAGGTTCTTTTGAGAATACTCACAGGTGTTACAATTTCACTATACCAGAAGTAATGTGCAGTGGAATTCTGCACAGGATGAACTCAAAGATAAACTATAGGGTATGGGAGGACCATGCACATCATGTCATCAGAACAGGTTGATGAGTATAGAGTATATGAATGACTAGACCCTACTGAGTGCACAGACGAAGAATGCTCAGTTATAACTTGAGGTTCGGTATGCTTAACGCTTAGACACAATCATTTCCGAGCCCATAATAATAGAGAGCCACATAAATAATAATTGGCAATATTTTGTGTCCTAAATTTCACCACTATACTCACTTCGTATTCAAGATTCCGCCATTTTTAATTTCCCTATCACGAAATCGTCCGGTTACGTCACACACACCCGGGCAGCCACACAGACACGCTCGCGCAGACGCGAGGATCACGAGGTGGCTAATCGAACGCTCTCGTGTAAGTTACTTACATGTGTAAGCTAAACGAACGCACCTATCGACTTGAAGTGTACGGCGGTCACAGGTGATCACAGGTCGCCAAAAAAAAAATTTAAAAGCGCCAAATCACAATTCAACTCGCAATTTCTCACTTTGTATCATAGGCGTAGCGGGGGGGGGGGGGGGGGGGGGGGGGGGTTAAGGGGGTATTTACCCCCAATATTTTGTAAAGACTGCCCTTTTCTATTCAAATGCCCTTTTTTCCCCCAGCGTTTACCCCCCCCCCCCCAAAAAAATATTTTTTAAAGAGTACCCTTTTTTAATAAGTGCCTTTTTTTCTGAACAAGTGCTTTTTAAAAGTACGTGGTGGCCTTTTTTGATTTATGGTTATTTTGATGAATAATCTGAGTAGGATTTTCAAATGCTGCTGGTAAACGTATTTCTTTTGTTAAAGAAGTTTCAGTATGTTGTAGACTGTGTTGTGCAATGTGCATTTAGGGACATATTTGAGTGATTATGATGTATGCGAATGTGTGTACGTTTTGGTCAGCCATCGGCCGGGGTTGGCCTGTGTATTTGTTATTTCTTCCCTGATGCTTAACATGGACACTAGCTGCATTTGTAGTTTAAACTTCTTGTAGAATTGAATCATGTTTATTAGGTTTAATTTCATTAATTTCTATATTTTCTTCGAATTGTAAGTCTTCATTTTAATACAAATGTAACCGGGTCTCACCTTGTAATGCAAAACTATAATGAGTGCCTGCCTAATTTTTACAGGTGGCCTCCGGGCCCAGCAGTCGGCAATAGAGTCATGTGAACAGAGAGAAGCTGTCTGGCTTTGTTCCTTGTTGCCCTCGCCACCTTGCTAGAACCTGTGTGCCAGTCCCTCCCCCCCCCCCCACACCAGTCCATTAGTTGACCCCTTTCCAACTCAAACTGCTCCCCTGAACACTATCATAAATTGCGACATGGCGTCTTGCGTATTGATCCTCCACGTAGGTTGTGCACAGTGCGAAATGCGAACCTAAACATGGAGATAACCAAACTCCAAGATTAATGGTTAATGTAAAACATGCAACATTTGGCTTACAACGGGAATGTCGTTGACCATCCTGGCTGAAATCAGTCGAAAACAAAAAGAACCATTAATTGCATGTTTTCCATAGAAGAGCCACTCTTGACTGCAAGTTGACCTTAATCCAATTCTAAAACAACCACAGTGGAGTTCTCGATGGGGGTGTGCCGAAATTAGTTGAACATTGTCAGACAGCAATCATAATTGTGCATGGTTTTAAAATAAAAATGCCCACTACTCGCCACTGGATGACTTTGATCCAAATCTGTGAAAAAAATCTCACATTGGATTTGTTCAATGATATTTTGACGAAATATACGAGTCACATCGGCTGAGGAATGTGGCAAAAGAAGCAGTTACCGCGTTAGAATTTAATGACCCCTACTGAACCTATACGAGGACTGGTCCAGTGATTCAACCGACCACTTTTGGCTTTAAGTCGGGTGAAGACTATAGAATAAGAAGGATTTCCTGTTTTCATAAAAATAACCACTAGTGGCCGGCCACATGATGACAATTGACCTCAAAAGTGACCCGTCCATACAGCACTCCGGTTTCGGTCATGAAAGATCCTGCTTCATACATGTAAAGCGCCCTCAACAGTAAGTTAATTGGTGAAGAAAGGGATATGTACTCAATAATCCAGTCGCTCGTTGAATTTTTCTATATTTTAGAAGTATATAGGCTTTTCCCAGTTATTGTATCACTTGGCCTATATCAACAAATTCCCTAAAACAATACTTTGATTTCGTCGAACATCGTCAAGCTTAATTCTCAGTTTAGTGTACGTTTGTATGCACAAGGTGCACTTGTGTGAAAACGAAAATGTATAACGATGCGAAGATTTACCTACCTACAGCCGATGTGTTCTAGATTTAGTCGGGCTGGCTTGAATGCAGTCCTTATCAGCGGCGACTTTAGATGTTTTAGTTAAAGCTTATGTGTTACTCAAGTATATATTTTTTTGATTGTCAATCCTAAAAGACATTTTAGTCTCCTATTTAAGTTTCAGTTTTCACCTAATAACCGCCACAAAATAAGTTCACAAATGTTCATCTTTGCACGAGTACCCCGAGTTCCACTAGACCACATGTACTTAAGAATTTCGGAGGTGAGAGGTCAATTTTCGGCACGATATTCATCTTTCATGTCAGGCGATTTGTCAGTTTCCATCAATTGAGATAAAGGCCTTTTAGAGGGCGATTTTCTTAAGAAATCAATGCACCAAAAATATTTGCACATCTTAGAATGTTTGCTTTCAGGCTCTATAGCCATCCAACCTTGTACCCATGGTGTCGAGCTGAACGCTCCCACCATGTACACTACGCGCTCTCTCAACCTGGTATTTGATCATTTTGCACAGAAAATATTTTTGGATGCAAATAAGGAATAATCTGGTGCCTGGCTGTGTTTTATATCAGCATTTGTTTTTGTGTAAAGTGTCTGGGGTAAAAAAACAACCCAGAATCAATTCATCGCGCCCTGAGTTACGAAAACACGATTTTGGTTCAAAGTTAAAATGTTATCTTATGCAGCCGATATGCAGTATTACATTACATAAAAGCAAAATGGAAAGGGAAGGATATTTTTGAGGAATGGACGTAATTACTACATGTGTATGCAATGAACATTAAAACACGACATACACGTTGGAAATAACAACACCAAGTGCACGATATAAATCCATTATTTGCTAATCTTAATATCGAATCAGGATACGGAAAAAAGTTGAAACCCTACAGGGCTTCTTATTGCCGGAAACGAGTTTAAAAAGAAAGTGAGCCCTGAGACGAGGTTGATAGCCATATGGAAACCCAGACTCGACACTCGACACTCCAGTCTCGACTCTGAGCATTTGGGATGCAACTTGGGTCCGAAAGTGGTGGTATTTAGCCATGTTGTGGAGGGATCCTTTTTCAAAATGGCTACTTCTCAAGTACAAGTACAGGAATATCATTGTTTTAGGGTGGCATTTAGGTGAGAATATTTCAAAACGTCATATTGGTGAACCCACCAAAAATTGAATGGCAAATGAAAGACGACATGTTAACTATCCTTTTCTGTGCAGCCTAAATACCTGTGAAAGTTTCGAGTACATTTAAAAGAATTTTGAAGTATGGAGATTTATCACTGGACTCTATGGGAATTTATTTGCTTGGGTGCAAACACAAGGTCACATCTGTATATCGCCCTCAATAGCTACTTGGTTGGCAATCGGACTATAGTCAGCATCCTGTTGTACATTTGTATTCATTTTTAGGTCTGTGAACTCGTGACTAGACTTTTCATTGCGGAAGTGATTCCATAAATAATAAATTGAGGCACAGTACAGGATAAATGAACTGTAAATGTTGAAAAACGAAATCAAATTCTGACGAGAATTACATATTTCTTTCAGAAGTGAAACGAATTAGTTTGCCAGGGTGAGTTCAGATTTCGTTGTCGCATTTATTTGCAGCTAAGCATTAGCATAGATAACTATACTACAGAGGGGATGGACGACCTATTTTATTGAGTAAGTGAATTGTTAACATTTAAGTTATAGAGTCAGTCAGTGTCACATAAAAATATTGAAGTTAATCCAAATGCACTGTTAGTCTGTTGTTCTTAGATAGCATGTTTAAGGTGGATCTGTGTGCCTGCATATTGTGTGCATTTATCGTAAACATGTGCATGAAGATATTAATATAGTCACATAGTCCTTCGGACCTTCAGCTAAGATCAGGGCATGCAACGAAAACCAGAACTTGTCTTGAATAAGAAGTAAGGGTTTTCCCTGGTACCTTTGTCTCTCCTCACACCATCTCAGGAAAACAATATACACAATGAATAACTAGTTGATGCAATGTTTCCCAAAATTAATTTTGTACTGTTATTTTGCACTGTTGTTCTTAGATAGCACGTATGACTTGGATGTGTGTGCCCACGTATTGTGTGCCTTTCTTTCGTGAACATGCTATATTAACGCGGTGTTTGTACACTCCATGTCAGTTAGCGTTTTCTACCTGTAATTCTGTTCTTTGTATTTGGTGCGGTTGCCCTTGTTTCACCTAACAGTCTACAAGGACAACAGCATAGCGCTTAGAAACGTAGTATTAAGCACGGTATAAATGTTTGCTATTATTATTATTATTATTAAGATACTAATACAGTCACATCCTTAATTAATTTGGACCTTCAGCTAAGATCAGGGCATGCAACTAAAAAGCCAGCACTTGTCTTGAATAAGAAGTAAGGGTTTTCTCTGGCACCTCTGGTCTCTCCTAACTGTTTTGTTGAATAAATTCAATTCCTCTCTGTGTCATTATAGGATTCCCACTGTCTTTCAAAATGACTTCAGCACAAGAAGATA